AAGTTCCCTTTCCCACTCTGGTCCCACTGATAAGATGACCCAGCCAAGCAACCCACCTTATCATGGGGCCCAGGGAGAGATGCTGCTTATCCCAGAGTATCCCAGAGTTTCAGTTCCCTGACAGCCCACAGAATTATTCAAATAAGCCAATTATATCCTCCCATGAAAACCAGGAGTACTCTACCCTCTTGATACTAGAAAGCCAACTGCCTACAGCCCCTGGTTATTCACTCTGCTCCTGAGTGCACCCCCTGTATAGTCCTGCGTGGTGTAGTGTTCTCCTCCCCTGGTGATAAGTGTAAGTGAATAATAAACTGTGTAAACTCATCTGTCCATGCCAGGTGTTGTGTGTTCGGCTATCCCGATAACAACAAGCTGGGAATCCCTCCCTCTCAAATGGGGTGAATGGAAGATGATTAAAATAGTGCAGCCTTTTTGGAAACTGTTTTTTGAGGACATCCTGCTCGCAGCACAGATATTATAGATGTATGTAGAACAAGGAAGTTCTTCTATGATCCTCTTAATAGCTGACTGCTTTTACCCAAGCTCCATTAATGCTGACATCTTCAGATTTTTCCTAAAATGAGGTTCGTGTTAGAAAACAATGCTTTCACCCAATTTATGCCCCCTGCTTTAGTTGTTATCTAACTTTCCCCCAAATGTGTGGAGGCCCTTACTCCATTTGACAAAAGAGCTACAAACTCAGGGGAAAACTAAATATAAATCCAAATGCCTAGATGACAACCCACATTTGAACAGCATATTAAAATTTGAAAAAATGTCCATTTATACTACACTTAAAACAACGATGAATTTATGATTTCTCTTTTTATTGTACAGATAAGGAAATTGACTTGTCACTCTTTGAAAGATAAAACTGAGATCCACTGGCTAGTCCTCTAAATACACATGGGAGGCTCAATCAACCACAACACACTGCCATTGCTGGATTTGGAATTATGCAGGGTTTTTTCCCTATACCCTGGCATATATTTGAGGCCAGATGAAAAGGGCAAAATAATATCTGAAGTAAAGTACATTAGCAAACTCAGCTAACAAAACAGGCTGGTTTTTACCTCTTGTACTATTTGAAAAGTTGAACCCCAAAAGTTCTCAACTTTGGCTGCATAGTTAAATCACCTGAAGCTCTTTATAAATTCTGATTCCAAGGCCACACTACAACTCTATTAAATCAGAAATTTTGACATGAACTTAACATTTAAGCAGTAGTAACTTCTGAGTCTCCCCAGGTGATTCCGGTGTGCAACCAAGGTTGAGAGTCACTGCAATAAGAGGCAAACGCTCCAGGTCTTGACCCCTTTTCCTCTCACATTCTTGATTTCTGATATCAAGAAGAACCTGGTCGGTTCAATTGAAAAGAGTGAGCCCAGGGCTACTAAGCAAAGGCATATGGTCATGCCTGGCTTCAACATTCAAATGCACGTATGACCTTTTACAGGGCTCTGATCTCCCATCCCTACAGAATCCCACGCAGTGGAGAATGGCTGCAGAGAATCACTCTACAGTGACAGAATTCATTCTAGGGGGATTAACAAACCACCAGACCTCCAGCCCGCTCTCTTCCTCCTCTTCCTCAGGATCTACTTGATCACCATGCTGAGGAATCTGGGCATGATCAACCTTATCTGTTTGAACTCTCAGCTTCACACCCCTATGTACTACTTCCTCAGACACTTGTCACTCTTGGACCTCTGCTACTTTTCTGTTATTGCCCCTAAAATGCTGGTAAACTTTGTGTCAGAGAATAACATCATCTCCTATGCAGGGTGCATGTCATAGCTCTACTCCTTCCTTCCTTTTGTCATTACTGAGTGTTACATGCTGACAGTGATGGCCTATGACTGCTATGTCGCCATCTTCTGCCTTTTGCTTTACAACATCGTCATGTCTCATCCAGTCTGCCCCCTTCTGGTGGCCGTGGTCTACACCACGGGACTCACTGGCTCCACAGTAGAAACTGGCCTCATGTTAGAACAGCCCTACTGTGAGCCCCTCATCAATCACTACTTCTGTGACATCCTCCCTCTCATGAAGCTCTCATGCTCCAGCACCTATGATGACAGTCTTCCTTTTCACTGGATTCAGCATCATAGTCACCAGCGTTAACAGTCCTTGTTTCCTACTCTTTCATCCTCTGTATCAGCACCACAGAGGGCAGGTCCAAAGCCCTCAGCACCTGCAGCTCCCACCTTGCAGCTGTGGGGATGTTCTATGGCTCGACTGCATCATGTACTTAAAACCCTCCCCAGCCAGTTCCCTGGCCCAGGAGAAGGTGGTCCCTGTTCTACACACATGATAATTCCCATGCTGACCTCCTGGTCTACAGCCTGAGGAACAGGAGGTAAAGGTTGCTGTGCAGAAAACACTGAGGAGACAGTTTTGTTGTGAATCAAGCTATTTATCTTGGGCTAATAATCAACCCAATGGGTTGTCAATATAGGAGAGAAGCCAAGCCCTCTGTAGGTTTACAAAGCCATAGGTGGAGAGAGAGGGCTTTTCCACAGGGCATTCTTTCCAATTCTCTATTAGTCCTACTCTGAGGGATCCTCTCAGATGCATTCCAACCGTTCCTAAGGGCACCCTCCGACGTTCTACTGTCTCTCCGTGTGAGGATAGCTGTCCTCTTAGAAAACATATGAGTGTCTGCTGTGGTCTGCACTCATCTCCCATGGCTTCCTGAACTTGTGGTAGAAGAAGGAAACTTCGATCAGAGGTACAGAAGGTTTCTCTCCTTCCTCTATTCAGAGCACATACTCCTGGGAGTCCAGGAGAAAATTATCCTTCTGAGATCTCTGTCTGCCCTGGTTCTGTCCAGATGTTCCTTATATATACTGACCTCAAACACCCACCCGACCCCACTGCCCTAATCAGTCCTTCCTCTCATTTCTTTCTCTCCCTTCACTATTTCCCAAGCTCCCATAATCAATTCCCACATTTCTGCACAGTATTTTCCAGGTTGTACCTTCAAAAAACTTCCTTTATATGCTCGTCTGCTTGCTGCTAAAAAAAAAAAAAAAAAAAAAAAAAAAAAAACTTCCTTTAATAATGTTAAAGAAAAATTTATCCCAAACATGGAAAAATGTAAATAGATGATTGATTCTTGGATATCAAGTTAGATCATTTTCCAAAATACCTGATTCACTCTAATCTGACACTCTTGGAGAATATCACAGGATATCTGACTAACAATTCATAACTGATGAAGGGGCAGACATTTTATAACCATACTAGGTGAAAGTTCTGCATAAATTGATAAGTCATTACAATCTGTATAGCTTAATAGAGAAGTTAACCCTAAAAGGAATATGATTTTATTGCCCTGTGGGACATTTACCTATATCTAACATACAATCTTATTTCAGCATCCTTTTTCTAACTACTTACATGTATGTGTTTGACTTTATACATATTAATATAAAATATAAAATCATGTGTGTGTGTCCCCATCTTTCAAATGCTCTTAGAACCAGCTTCTTTTTCTTCCTACTGGTTGCCTCAATTAATGAAATAGAATTTTGACATGTGCTAATAACAAGTAAATATTAAGAGTCAAGTTTTTTCAAATTAATAGTAATAATGTCAATAGTTAATATATATTGGATGTTTAATATAAGCCGTATACTGTACTAAATTTTTATATACTTTATCTTATTTAATTCTTAGTGAAATAGATCCTATGATTATACTAATTTTACAAATGAGAAAACTAAAATTTATAGAGATTGGCAACTTTTTAGAATTAACAGAAGCAACAGCCCCAGGAAGCACATCCAAATTGTCTAATTCTAGTGACCAAATTCATAGCTGATGATAATCCCTTTTCCTTGAGCTTGTAATCTCTCTATACATTGACCTAATGGTTTTACCATGAACACCCATTTCAAATTTCAATGCTTCTTTAACAATAACTTCCTCAGGTCCCTCCTTCCACTGTCTTCCCCCATCTTCCTCCCTTTAAAGACAGCTTCCTCCATATGCTCAGGGAAAGTGTACACTTCACTGTACAGTCTTACATCCTACTCATAAAATTAGCATCCAACCCTGAGGATGTATTTCTACATGCCTCTGCCTCCCCCATCATCCTGACTCAGCAAGTTCAAACTCACAGGTCAACACTGATGTGGCCCACATTTAAAGCAAGAGCTGACACTTGTGCTGTGCTGTACATTTTAAATCCAATGCATTTCATTTTTTATCAATGCTCACAATCCTGGAAGAGTATACTATTTTCCTATTATGCAAAACAGAAAACTGGGGCATATATAACTTCTATAACTCCAGTGGGAGTCTTTTGCCTCCAAATGTCAAACTTCATTACCTTTCCAATATTCTACCCTGCCATACTTTCCCCCACTTTTTCCAGAAGACTTTTGTTTATAAAAGAAAATTCTAACAATGAGATTGAAACACTTTAGAAAAAGACCAGGCCTGGGAGATAAAGTTTGTACCAAATGCAGGGCAATTTGGGGAAATTAATCTGGGGCCAGCACTAAAAATCTCTGGGACAAAGAGTACTATGAAGGGAAGCAGTCCTAGCTGAGTCTTGTATCTCTAATCCCACCCCAAACAACAAAATGAAAGGCCTGAATGCATTTTTTTAAAAAAATCAAGCCAAATTCCATGTAAATTAAATGGGTAGCCTGACCCCAAATTACACCCCCTCCCCACCACCTCCCACTCCTCAATGAGAGAGCAACATAAAACCTCAGGGAGCCACCCACTCAGGGACAACCCAGGGAGAGCAGCCTGGTACCAGTCCCAGGTGAAGTTCAACGTCTGTATCCTCCACCAGCAAGGGCCTACTCAGGGCAAACTTCCCTGTAATTTCCAGTGTTCTGGCCCACAGCCTGGCAAGTTACAGTACTCCCTTCTTATCCGAGGTTTCACTTTCAGTTACCCATAGTCAACTGAGGTCAGAAAGTAGGTGAGTACAGCACAGTAAGATATTTTGAGAAAGAGACCACATTCACATAACTTTATTACTGTATGTTTTTATAATTGTTCTATTTTATTACTTATTGCCGTTAATCTTTTGCTTTGCCTAATTTATAAGTTAAACTTTATCATATGTATGTATGTATAGGCAAAAACGTGGTGGATATATAGGGCCCAGTACTATCTGTGATTTCAGGCCTCCCTGAATGTATTCCTTGCAGATAAGGGGGATTACTGTATTTAGAGAATTATCTTCTGCTCTTAGCACAAAGACTCCAAGACTGTAACTGCAGACACTCTCTGCTCAGAGCCAGCTGCCTGAAACTTGTCGTGTCCTCACTCTGCCTCTCCTGGGCTTCCATCCTGATGGCTCTGCATGCTGACACTCAGCAATATCACGTCTCTTGCACATGCGGTTGCAGAATGCATGTTCTCAAGTGTTCTGCTCACTCACCACACAGGCCTCACCTCCAGGGCTGAGCCTGGAGTGGCCCCTGGATCAAATGGTCACATTCACAGCCACAGGCTTCCCCTTGTTGCTGATGTCTCGGTGTTGCTAGCGAGTTGCTGCCGTGGTCCACATTCGTATTGTAACCCACAGTTTGAAAAGTCCTTGTCTGAAGCATGCATTTTTGAAGACCAAAAAGGAAGAGACAAAAAAAAAAATGTGAGAAGGTTTAGCTTGAATTATCATCATCTCCATAATTGTTTAATGGGGAAAAACCTAGAAATAAGATATTTTATCTTTAGGTTAGTTTTTATTGCCTTGAAAAATATAATTTTAAATCAAGTGGGTCTTGTTATTTAGGGCACAATAATCTTTTCATGGCTCAGACCTTCAGAAGTTCTTAAGCAAGATAATTATCTCTCCGAGCTGCTTTCCAGTCCCCATCTCCAAAGCTCTGACTAGACATTCTCAGTGCCTGACACTGCCTGGTGCATAGTATGTGCTAGATAAATGTTCCTTCTACTTTTTTTCTACTTTTTTTTTATCATAAATCTCCTTATGAACTTCATGCAAACCACTATTATATGTATTATTTGGGGTCCTTAACTTGTTCAGCCACTATAAAATCCCTATTAAAGAGAATATGGCAGAGCACAGGTGATCTTAGGACAGTGAGACTACTCTGTATGATACTATAATAGTGGCTACATGTCACTATAAGTTTGTCCAAACCCACAGAAAGTACAACACCCAGAGGAGCCCCTAACATAAACTATGGACCCTGGTGATAATGACGTGTCAGTGTAGGTTTATCAATGACGACAAATGTGCCACTCTCGCGGGGGATGATGGGAGCAGGGAGGTGTGCCTGTGCACGGGAAGGGGGCATCTGGGAGATCTCTGAGCCTCCCTTTCAACTTAGCTGGGATCTAAAACTGCTCTGAAAAATCTTAAACCTTAAAACAGAGAGAAAGAGAGAATATGGAACCTCTGGGAGGTGGGAGACCTGCCCTCTAGTGATGCTGTTTGCTTGCTAAATTGTCCACAGGGGGAGCCTCAATCCCATGTCACCTGTTTCATCACCATGAAATGAGAGAAAGCATCAGCTCCTCTCATTTTCCTTCTGGGAATTGACGAAGGGAAAACTAAAGTCAAATGCTTTCTCACTGCTCCCACTTCTTTCCTTCAACACCATCCCCAACCTATACCCCTCTGCTCTATCTAAGCTCAAAACCCAGGTAATAAATCCTCCAAGAGATGTCACCTTTCCCAGGAAGTAGACATCAACATCAAACTGCAGGAGCCCAGCGCCGAAATGCAGGGTAGCTGACGCTGCTAGCTGCTGGCCTGTCTCATCCAGTAGCTGTTTGCAAAGAGAAGAACTTCCAGACCAGAAGCCTGAGTCAGCGGATTTGGTTGGCCTGAGGCAAATAGGAGAGCACTGTCCCCATTTCTTCCATGGCACGGCAGGGTGGACCAGAAAGCCTGGGCACAGGAGGGGGCGGACAATGCCTGCCAAATGCAAAAATTTGGAAAGAGGTGAAGCGCGACACCCAGAGAACTCCTGGTTGATCGTGTCCGGGCTCCCATTCTCCATTCTGGCAGGGAGCTGGCTGAGAAGAGTGTTCCTATTCCAGGGCTTCCTGTCAGGAGTCCTTTCCCAGCAACATCAGTAAGGGGCAGACTGACTGCTGGGACTTCCCAGCTATCACATACCTGGGAAGACTCTCCAGTACAAGATGACAAGTCTCCATTCCCTGGGTTAGAGTCTTCTGCCTCAAGATTCTTCTGCCAGTAGACAGATATCCCTTGTTTCTTCTATTCATGTTGTAACCTTTCTGCAAATGCTTGATGATCCTTGGGTGTTCTCTTGAAAATAAGAATATCCTTAGTTGATAGGCCATTCAGTGGGCATGGTCCACATGTGGAAACTAGAGAACTTCACTTTTGTGTGGTCCGTGTGAACTAATTTTTGGAGAAACACCAAGTTTAGTATTTGTAGGTCTTTCTCATAGGCTGGTCAGTTTCACCAGAAAGGAGACCCCAATATACTAATTTAAGAGGTAGAGGGAAGTGTCCTTAATAACGATGGTGCCAACATTCAGAAAGTTCAGTGGTGAACTCCAAGAATTGCATGTAATCCCTGTCTTTTCCGTCCCCCTGCCCATGGCTGTGCCTGGTCCAGGGCTCCTCTGGTTCAAAGTGTCCAAAGAGTAAACTTTAGGCAACCTGCCAGACTGGCGGAGGTACTCCCTCGCCTTTAGGGCAATCATTTTGGAAGTCTCATCTGAAAGTCTGTGGCCTTGCTGCAGAAGTCAGTTGTGCCATGTTGGGAGGAAAAACCAACCCTCAGAGGCCTGCGCATGCCGCTGGGAGGGCAGCAGGCCCCAGGGCAAGGATGGAGAATCTCCAGTCAGGAGTCTGCTCATCGGTCCAGTATCTCCTCTACTCAGAGAATCCCTTCCTGTTTCAATTTTGAACGTGCTAAGAAGATGTTAATATTATGACAAAATGGCCTCCTCTTTTAGCATAAAGACATTTTTACTCAATGCTTTTTCTACTCTTTTACGAGTTTCAGGAAATGTAAAGCAATAGCCAAGGAAAGGCACAAGACAAAAGTCATTATCTCTGTTTGCTAGAGTATTAAATAAAACTCCTTTCTTTCATTTACTCATTTATTCATGGCAGCCATTTCTGGCCAGAGAGAGCAGTTTGAAATTCAGAAAAATGTCTTCTAGTTCAGCCTGCATTAAAGTGCAAGATTAAAAGAAAATAAAAAGCATAATTTTGGTGCATGACTAAGCTGCCGGGAAAGGAAGTTCCTTGGGCAAAAGAGACAAGAAGGCAGGAATCCTGTGAGAAAAATAAAGCTGGAACACCCCTGCCCCTCTTTTCCCCGGGCACCTGCCAAGACCAAGTGTCCATACCTGAGGGACCAAGGGCAAAGCCTGGGCCCAAGCAGGCTTCCTTCCCAGCCAGCGAAGTAGAAAACACTGGCCCTACGCGGGGATGTGGGCAGAACACAGCTCTTTTCAGCCATGACTCTAGAGGAAGCAGGCAATGCAAAACCGTCTCCTCCCGCAATTCCCAATCACAAGCCTGCACTCGGGTGCAGTGGGGTGTATTTACACATGTGTCCTGAAAGCCCCAAGCAAAAGTTTCCAAAAATGAACGTTTTTAATAACAGAAGAAATCAGACTGAATTTCTTCAATCAGGAAGTGACATTCAGGGAGAAACTTGGAGGGTAAGAATACTTGTCCTCCTATTTGGGGGAACCTTCCCTTCCGTGAGTCTCGGCTGAATCTCCGCACGATGGAAGCAGCCCCCACGGAACACAGGACCCAGCCTCAGCCGCTCAGGCCTTTCCACGCAGGGCCGCGTCTCTGGAGGAACTCAGAGTTCCCACCGGCGAAGGCAGAGGCGACGCGTTCCAGCGACTGGCTCTGGTGTGTGGTGAGACTGGGGGTGCCGCCAGCAGTGCTCAGCTGCCTGTGGAGGTGGCGCCGGCCGTGCCGCCAGCATCCCAACAGATAGCTTCTGCAGTGTGACTTGGCTGCTTGCAGCTGCCCACCTTCTCCTGAATCCTGCCTGTTCCCAAACCGAACTCCCTTCTTGCTGAAGTGAAGCAGTGCCAGATACAATCGTTTGCGCCTATGCACCATGCCTCCTGGTTATAACAGAAGTTGGCCAGATGGAGGGCTGAGGAAGGCGGTGGGAGGAGTGAGCACCAGGCTGTGGGCACACAGCTCTTTCACACCTGTGACCTCTGGCAAACCATCACCTGAGCATTGGACAACAGACTTCCCCTCGCTTCCCACAAAGAACTGTACTCTTGGTAGTGTTTGGGGGGAAAAGAATGAAAAAAAAAAATCAAATTCTAAAGACTGCCATGATCACACCTAAAATCCTCTGTGGGGTTCTTAAGCCCTTTATCTTACAACGGCCATTTCCTTTCTTTTTTTCCAAATGGACACACATATATTCCTGCATGCTGGGTAAAACATACATAAAATGGAGAAATTTCGAGTGTCCAAATCAATGTGTGCCCAGCTCAAGATACAGAATATTTCCAACACACCAGAAGATTCCTTCATCTCCTTTCCTGTCACTAGCACCCATGCCCTACCCCTAGAGAGATCCATTTTCTATCTTCTATAACTTTAAATTAGGTTTGTCCATTCTTGGTATATATAGAGCCATTTAATACACAGTTTTTTCTGTCTGGCTTACTATGTCTACGAGATTCATCTACTTTGTGTGTTGCTGGGGGTTCATTCCTTTTTATCACTGTGTCTTATACTATTGTATAAACATATAATTTATTTATCCATCTCACGTTGATCACAATGTGCATTTCTTAAAAGAATAAGCCAAACTTTGATGATTCAGTGATGGTGGAAGAAACATAAACCGGGTTCACTTTTTATACAGATATATACTGAATATGTATATCAGCTGAACCTTTTCTGGGCAGTTTTATAAAATAATAGCCAACAATAAATCCCCCAAATTTGTTAATGCGTATTAACTCTAATGCATAGATATTAATTTAATGTTTAATTAACATAAAAATAGTTGACATTTAGATTTTAAGTGGTCGATGTTATGACAGGTCTATTTTTCATGGGTTGTTTTACAGAAGATGCATGTCTATTGAGGTCCTAGGGAAATCGATATAGGAAGTAACTTATTGTCTGTATTACAAAACTGGGGACCTGATTTTAATTACAAAATAATTATTGTTTATTATATGTGATGTATCATTCTGTTCTGTGACAGATTATTGATCATATGTTAATATTTGACTCTAAATTTTCGTTCAGAAACCATGTCCCATTATAACATTGTTACCATGGAAATACATGGTCAGGTTCATGATACCCTGAGCATGTACTGCTGTGTGTTCTGAGTGAGAAGCTGAGCTGATGAGCACTCCAGGCAGGGGCATCAGTGAAAACAAAGACCAGAGTCCCAGCAAAGCCCTAAGTTTTAGGGGAAAGGCAAGTGATATTAAAAGAGAAATTACTAGGTATATAAAAGGGTGGGTATAATATTACTGAGGGGGGAAGGGAATAATTAATCAATCTCTATTCAGCACTGTGAGGGGAGAGCTAATGGAGAACTAAAACACAGAAACCAGACAGAAGGAGATCAGAAGATGAGCTTTT